TGAAGTTTGTCTATCTTGGTATCGATGTGTTTGGAATTGTCTTACTTGAGATTTGCTTAGCTTCTCGAATCTTAAGGTCTTGTTAGGTCTTTGCGCCAGATGTGAGACCAAGGACTCAAGGAAGGAATCAGAGAAAGAAAGTCAAAGAAGCTTTATTAAGGGGGCTCTCGGGCGGGATTCCTCGGTCTGCAGAGAGACATTAGGGCAGGTTTTAGAGGAAGGATCTTTAGGGAGGGACGTTCCATGTGTGAAGGACTAACCTTGAATTATCAATCTAGGAAATTTATAAGTGGTCAGTAAGTAAATGGAACAAATATAAAGATCAACTTCTTTTATGATTAATGAACAGAGATGGACTGGTATTGGCTACTATGATTCATATTATCTAATATAAGGAATTGGTTTAAAGACTAAGCATGCCTGACTCAACACTTGGTATTTTCAATTTCTTACTATTCATCTGAAAGTTCTTCAATCAAGGACAAAAATCAAAGAAGGTTTAATGTCCTTGAATGTGGTATTGATGAAGACTATTAAACATATCATAGACTGCCAGCGAAGAATGAAATTTGTCTTGCAGAAAGTACAACCAGAGTGTTCTACAGGCAGGGATGGTGACATTTCATCTCACTACACGCTTATCTTCAAGAGGAACCAAATCAAATGGACAAGGCTGTTCATTTCCTTTGTTGGCTTGTTGATAGCCCTTGAATCCTTCCTTCCTCCTTTGACCTTGGTCAGGGCCTGACATACATATCTCACAAAATTTGGGAAAATTTGAGCTACTGCATCTTCAGATACTTTTACAAACCTAGTCTTGTCTTGTCTTATAGATTCTGATGACATGACAATGAGCTCTTCTGTTAAAGTCCGAGAGGTCTCTGAAGCACGGTTGGGTATTTTTTTAGTTTCACTGTTCAGATAGAATGATTTATGTTGTTTTACCTTTTAGTTCCTTGACTTTTTTTTTTCCTTCTCCGTTTTCTATTGCTCTCATCTATTGAATTTTCATTTTGGCTATCATATTAACCAGCTGCCTTAGATTGATTCGGATTCATGATGCCTCCACGTGTGTTAAGTAGAGCTGAATGTAATGCATAGGATTTTCTTCCTTTTGAAAAATGTTTCTTCCCTGTCCCTCTCTCCCGTCCCTGATGACTAACCAATGATTCTTTCTTTCTGTGTGTAAACCTTTCCATAACTGTATAGTTGTGAACTCAAAGCATTTATCCTTTTGTCACTGACATATTTCTCTCAGCATAATGTCTTCCAGATTCATCCTTATTAAGCTGTGATTAGTGAGTTCTTCCTAATTTTTTAGGGTTTCACAGTATTCCATTGAGTCTGTGTACTATTATCTATTCATCTGTTGATTCATGCTTCAGTGGACATGAGTATGCATCTGTCTTTGTGTTTTGCCTCTTAATTCTTCAGGATATATACCTAGTAGGGGATTACTCAATCAAATGGTATTTCCATTCCCAGCTTTTTAAGGATGTGTTGAACTATTTTCCACAGTTGTTATGTGTTGTCAAGTCACCTACGACCCTATATACAACTGCTCTGAAGCCTGATCCTGAGCCAGTCTCTGACTCTGACACACCTACTCCCATTGCCCTAGTATCAATCCATCTCATCTTGGGTCTTCCTCTCCTATCCTGTCCTTCTAACCATCTAAGCATGATATTTTTCTCCAAGGACTGGTCCCTCCTGGCTGCATGCCCAGATCATGTGAGGTGGAGTTTCAAAATCCTAGCCTTTAAGGAGAAACTTGGGCTTACCTTTCTTAAAGACAGACTTCTTATTTCCTTAGTGGTCCGTGGTGTGTTAAGCTCTCCAGCACCACAACTCAAAGGCATTAATTCTTCTGTCATTCTTATAGTCCAGCTCTCTGATTCATGGCAAGTGAATGTCAAGACCATGGCCTGGGTCAGGCTCACCTTAGTCTCTTTACTGACATCGTTGTTTCTCAATGTTCTGGAAAGGTCTCTGACAGTGATTTTCCTAATACAATTCATCTTTTGATTTCATGATTGCTGGTGCCAAGAGTGTTGGTTGTGGAGCCAAGCAAGCTGTAATTTTTAACAACCTCAATCTCTTCTCCATTTATCATGATGCTGCCAGTTGGCCCAGTAGTGAGAATCTTGGTCTTCTTGATGTTGAGTTTCAATTCATATTGAACACTACTGTCCTTGAGTTGCAGCAAACGCTTCAGTTCTTTTTCGTTTTCAGCAAGCAAGATTGTTGTGTCATCTGCATAATGCAGGTTGTTGATGAGTCTTCCTCCAATCCTGATGCCATATTCTTCCTCATAAAGCCCAGCTTCCTGAATGATCTGTTCTGCATATAGCTTGAAAAGATATGGAGATAGGACACATCTCTGATGCACTCCTTTCCTGATTTTGAACCATGCAGTGTCTCATTACTCTGTTTTGAAGACTGATTCCTGGTCTGAGTATAGGTTGTTTGTGTGTGTGTGTGTGCCCAAATTTATTGAAAATATTACAGCACAGCAAACAGACTCAAACGGCTCCACATGGTGTTTTGAAATTCATCCTAACTGTGGGCTGAGTGACCTGCAGGTTGGACAGACTGCCAAAGTCCAAGGGTTTCAGCATTTCGTTAGTATCAGGATCTACTTCAATGATCTCCTGATCCAGGGCTGAAACTGCTGGTACATAATTATCTCTCCTTTCTCTCTCCTCCTCCTGCAGCTTAATGGAGATGCCTCTCACAGGCCCTCTCTGAATCTGCTTCATCAGATGTGTGACATAGCCTGCTATCTTGTTCCGGAGTTTCTTGCTGGGATTAATGGCAATCTCCTTGCACACGCGCTTTTTCGTGTGGAAGTCATTACCCAGGCACTTGTAGTATTTCTCAATGATGACCTGGGCCGCCTTCTTCATGGTTTTGGTGCGAATGCGGCCCATGTTGGTGGTTGGTGGGTCCTTGGTGAAAACTGAGTATAGGTTTTTTTATAAGCACAACCAAGTGTTCTGGGATTCCCATTCTCCTCAAAGCTAGCCACAATTTGTTGTGATACACATAGTCAAATGCCTTTTCATAGTCAATCAAACACAGATAAACATTCCTCTGGTATACTCTGCTTTCAGCCAAGATTCATCTGACATTGACAATAATGGCTAGTACCAGGACCTCTTCTAAACCCAGCTTTGGTGGCACCATTTTACAGTCCTCCCAGCGGTGTATGAGAGTTCCAGTCTCTCCACATCCTTGCCAATTTTTGTTGTTTGCTGTCTTATCAACTTTACTGTTGCTGAGGTTAGATGATACCTCATTTTGATTTGCATCTCTACTTGCTATATTCTGATGGCTTAATGGTAGGGAATTGCACTACCAACCCAAAAGTATATGCTTGAATCCGCCAGCTTCTCGACAGGAGAAAGATAGGCACTTTACTGCTTCTAAAAACCTGCTGGAGGATCAGTTGTGAGTTCATGATCTCAACAGCAACAATAGCTAAAGATCATGAGCATTTCTTCATGTATTTTCTGTCCATCTGAATGTCTTTGGTGAAGTATCTTTTCCTGTCTACTGCCCATTTTTTAAAAATTGAGCTATTTGTCTTTTTTGTTGAGTTTTCAAAAAATGTTAACAATTAGTCCCTTGATAGATGTGTTGTTATCAAAGATATCCTGTTTAGGTAGGTTCTCTCTTTTTTAAAAAAAAATTTAATTTTATTTTATTCTTTTTGTGCGTGTACTGTCAAATCAGGTCTGACTGGTACAGGAGGAGATTTTGTTCCTCCTTCTCCAGCAGAATATCTGGTGAATTTGAACCACGCACCTCTGGGATTGCAGTGCAGCTTCTTGCCACTAAGCCACCAGAGCTCCCTCTAGGTTCTCTTTTTATACTTATCAAATTTAATTTTAGAAGGTCCCAGTTGTTTAGTTTATCTTATTCTGTTGTACATTTTTTATTATATTTTTATTATATTTATGCCTTACATTGTGATCCCTAAATGTACACTTATATTTTTTTTTGCTTTGATGATCTTTATAGTTTTAGGGTTTACATTTAAGACCTTGATCCATCTTGAGTTAGATTTTTATATAGTATTTTTTTAGCTGAATTTCATTTCCCCCCATATTTTATAAATAAACCCTTGGATTTTAATTTTAATTAATTAAATGGCATTAAGTTCTTGACTCCAATATGACTTATTTTTATTTACAGACTTTTACTTATCTTTATTTAACAGTTGCATTTATCTTGTTCACATTTTATAAATATTTTGTTTATGTTTTTTGTGTCTGGTATTTATTAAGTATTTAATGTTTTTGTTATTACCATATACTTTATATTTTTTGAGGGGAAGCTTACAAATAATTTATTGCTATATACTTTTAATTGTTTTCTAATTATTCTAAAGAACATACTCATATTTCTTTTGCTTTGATGCTGTTGTGGTGTTACTTGTGTGACAATTTCAGAAATCTCTGATCATGTGTCCTTTAAAAGAAACTGACTTTCACTGTATCAACCCTTATTTGATCAGTTGATTTCCTCTCAAAAAAAAGAAAACCTCATTGCCATTGAATAGAAACTGACTCATCGCTGACTTTTAAAGACTTAAGCAGGATTTTAAAGACTTTAAATCTTAAAGGAGATTGCCTGCCTGGCTGTTGAGGAGTTGGTGGATTCAGATGACCACAGAGGCGTGGCCTTTGAGAGGTGGCAGTCCAGTCTCCCTAAGGACGAGCCCACCAGAGTTCCCTTTCTTCCACAATAATGACTCTCTCTTTTAGGCCTGTGAGCCAGTTGTTAGCTTGAAATGTAAGAACTACTACACTTGGTCATGAAAACATTTTTGCTTAATTGTGAAAGTTTGTCATGGATTTGAGTCTAGGTAAAAGGATGGGGTTGGGGGTGGGAAGAAAACTTGTTGCCCTGTACATTGAGATCATGCATTTAGAGGCATAAGTAGGTGAATAGACATTAATTTATAATGTGTGTTAATTTCTCTTTTACTTTTTCAGCTGGAGTAGAGATGGTCATAAGCTTGTGAGCGCTTCCACTGATAACATAGTGTCACAATGGGATGTTCTCTCAGGAGACTGCGACCAAAGGTTCCGGTTCCCTTCGCCTATCTTAAAAGTCCAGTATCATCCACGAGATCAGTATGTTTATCCTAAAGTATTCCTTTTGTGCAGTAGGGCTTACTTCTCTATGGGAGGCTGCCAGGCACTTGAACATTTGTGTTTAAGGTTTTACAGGGGCAGAAGCACATCTCTTCAAATATTTTTCATAAAAAAAAGATTCTTTGTCTAGGTTAGTCTACTGAGTAGAATTCTCAGGGAGAGTGTTGTAGTATAGAATTAAAAACTGATCAATATTAGGACTTTGAAAGTGAACAGATCTAGAGATAAATGTAATAGGGACACGGCCTGGCGTTTTTCCTCACCCTAATGAAATACTTGGATTTATTTAGTAGAGGGAAACAGTTTAATAATGTTAGAACTACATTTATAAAGAAAAATCACCCCCATTTCATTACCCAGACATTATGTACGTAACTGCTTTATTTCTCTGGGCTCCTTTTTAGTCCTATTCTATTTAAATATAAAGAAAAGACACTTAATGTGCATACTAAATATATGTAAAATCTGTATATCTTTGTAATGTTGTTGTTATGTGCCATCGAGTTGTTTGTGACTCATAGCGACCCTATGTACAAGAGCTTTAAATGCTGTTCTATCCTATGCCAACCTAGCCATCTCAAACGCCCTTATTCCCACTGCTCCAGTCACAGAATCGATCCATCTCATTGAAGGTCTTCCTCTCCTTCGCTGCCCCTCCACTCTGCCAAACATGATGTCCCTCTCCAAGGACCAGTCCCTCCTTGCAACATGCCCAAAGTATGTCAGACGAAGCTTCAGAATCCTTGACTCCAAGGAGCATTCTGGCTTCACCCTCTCCAGGACAAACCTGTTTGTTCTCCTAGCAGTCATTGTAATAGTTACTTATTTTTTTCACTTCATATATGTTCTACCAGTCTTCCTATTTATTTTTCGTGATTATGTATCATTTTGTCAAGGTAGATCCCATAATTTTACTCAGTCATTTTCTTGTTGTCAGACATTTATGTTTGATGTTCAGTTGCTATTCTAAATGGTAATTGATGAGATAGTGGATAGGGATCAGAAAAAGGGGCAGAGAATTAGCCTCTGGCAGCAAAGCAACAAGCCGATGTACTGTTCATATTTTTAAACAGGAACAAGGTACTCGTGTGCCCCATGAAATCTGCTCCTGTCATGTTGACCCTTTCAGATTCCAAACATGTTGTTCTGCCAGTAGATGATGACTCCGATTTGAATGTGGTCGCATCTTTTGACAGGCGAGGAGAATATATCTACACAGGAAATGCAAAGGGCAAGGTAAGTCTAGGTGCCTTTAATCTTGTCCATTCAGCCTTTGCCACTCCGTTCACTGGCTCATTGCATGTTCACTTCCTCTTCCTCTTAGATTTCTTTTGTTCCTGCTTTAAGAACATGGTTCTTACTTGTAACAAATGTAGCCTCCTTTCTCTCAAGCTTTAATAATAATGTCTGTTCTTTGAGTGGTCAGTGATTATTATTAAATATGGGGGGGTCTATATTGAGTGCTGATAATGAAATATCATTACTAAGTTATAAAATGGAAAAGTCATTCTCAAATGGAGCACTCTTAATTAGCTAATACCTAGTTCTTTAAATATTGTGTACTTCAGGATAGCTTAACCTTTAATACTTTATTATTCCTTTTTTTCCTTTTTCTTAAACTTCTGGGCTTGCCTTTTGGAGCATTGGGAGGGTCTAGGACCGTCTATCTGAGATATATTGTAGAAAGCTTTTCTTCCATGGAAGTAGAAGTCAGGCTAGGTGAGTTTTAAGGTTTCTTTCAAGCTGAATGTGTAAGTCCATTAGATACCTTGGGGTTTTTTGTTTTGTTTGTTTGTTGTTTTTTTTTTTTACCTTGGGGTTTTTTTAACTGGACTCATGCCCATCTGTCTCCTGTGAAGCAGCTGGTGAATTCGAACTGTATACCTTTGGGATTGCCGCATAGCTTCTTAGCATTAGGCCACCAAAACTCCCAAAATGAGAATGTAGAGTTGTTGATGTTTTTTACCCAGTCTCTGCCTTGTTTTAGAAACAGAAACCAAATCTCGTTACTGTAAGTTGTCAGAATACTTAGTATTGTTTTCTTCTTTAAACTTTAGATTTTGGTCTTAAAAACAGACTCACAGGATCTTGTCGCTTCCTTCAGAGTAACAACTGGAACCAGCAATACCACGGCTATTAAGTCAATAGAGTTTGCCCGGAAGGGAAGGTGAGACTTTGTGTCATTTTAGGGACACTTTTAAAATGACCAGTAGTTTTAAGAGAGTATATTGAGAGTCACAGTTTTTCTGTGGGATTATACTTCTATTTTTTTTTTTATAGAAAAAAATTTGGTTAAAAAATGTTATTAGGAACTTTATCTTTGGTACTTAAGTTCAAAATTGACTGCATTGAATCAGTAGCCATACTTTCTTTTATGCTTGGATATCGTCTTTGCTCAGATACCTGAGGGCTTGATTAGTGTTCAGAACCAAAAACACAGGCACTTATAAGTAAGTATTGGGTAAAGCTCGGCTATTTCTGTAATTAGAATTACTCTCACAAAATTCACATAGTGACTAAATATGTGCTGTACTCACATAAAGTTTATTTACCTTTTTTACTTTAGCTACTATTTTGGTAAATTTGGTTGTCTAGTTAGATACAGACATATGTACAGAATCAAGAAAAGAGTTGTCAGTAGACAATTAAAACAGGCATTTGGATGGCAGGGAAGAAGAACAAACTGGGGAGGAGGGTAGAGAGAATGGTGCAGCAATGAAGGAATGAAAACCCAAAATCCCTGTAAATGTTCATTAAAACTAATAAAATTTAATAATTTAAAAAAAAAAAAGTTGTCAGTAGAGAGGTAATGGTCTTCTTTTTAATTCAGAAGAGCCACACATAGTTAGAGAACATCAGCGCTTGGAATTCTCCTAAGTTAGGAAAAGATTGAAGTCTGTAAAAAAATGATGAAACAAATTCTATTTTAGCTGGATTTCCAATACCATTATAGTGAAAAGTTTCGTTTATGGTGACTCATTGCCGTTGAATCTGAATAGACTCATAGTTGATAATTTAGTGGGGTTTTGGAGGCTGTAAATCATAAGGGAGGAAACTGCCCACCTTTCTCGCATGGGGCTGCTGGTGAACTCACACCGCCAGAGAGGTGATACCTTTGGGTTGGCAGTGAAACTCCTTACTGACTATGCCACCAGAGTGCAGAGTGACAAGTTAGGCATTTTGAAATGACATATTTTATTCACTCGCTTATTAGACGAATATGTTGTATATCAGACAGGCCAGATCAATGACTCAAGGATGGGGGTGTGTGTGTGTGTGTTTGTGTGTGTGTGTGTGTGTGTGTGTGTGTAAATTATCATCTTGTATGATTAGCAAATTAATCTCAATTTAGAGGTCTTAAATCTCAATCAAATACTGATAGTCTTTGTGTTATGTTGTTGATTCTTTCGAGTCGAGCACAACTCAAAGCGATCCTATGAACAAAATGTCTGAAGCCCTCTATAACTATTGACATTTATCAAAGTTCATATTCCAGAGGCATGTTGTTTAGGAAGTGGATGCCATTCCTGCTTCCAAACCTCTCATAGTATGTTATTGTGGTTATGTGCCATTGAGTCACCTATGATGTACAGCAGCTCTGAACCAACCCTTCCTTATCTTGAGCCAGTCTCACTAATTCCAACACACCAACCCCTATTGCCCCAGTTACTGTAATCAATCCATCTCATCTGGAGTCTTCCCCTCCTGCACTGTCTGTCCACCCTTCTGATCATGATGTTCCTTCTCCAGGACCAGACTCTCCTGGCCACGTGCCCATAATGAGACAGAGCTTCAAAATCCTAACCTCTAAGGAGAGACCCTTTAAGACAGACTTGTTGTCTTGGCATTCCATGGTATGTTCAAGACTATTTTCCAGCACCACAACTCAAAGGCATTTAGTCTTCTGTCATCCTTAGTCATTGTCCAACTCTCTGAAGCATAACAAGTAATTGAGAAGACTATGGCCTGGATTAGGTGCACCTTTGTCTCTAGACTGACATCCTAAGCTCTTCTGTACTCTGGAGAGGTCCATGACACAGATTTTCCCAATGCAGTTTGTCTTTTGATTTCCTGACTGCTGGTGTTAGGAGTGTTGATTGTGAATCTGAACAAGCTTTAATTGCTAACAACCTCAATCTCTTCTCCATCTATTATGGTGCTGTCAGTTGGCCCAGTGATGAGAATCTTTGTCTTCTTGATGTTGAGCTTCACTCCATATTGAAGACTACAGTCCTTAACCTTTTGCAGCAAGTGCTTCAGTTCTTCTTCAGTTTCAGCAAACAAGGTTGTGTCATCTGCATATTGTAGGTTGTTAAATGAGTCTTCCTCCAATCTTGATGTCACACTCTTCCTCGAAGCCCTGCTTCCTAAATTATCTGTTCTGCATACAGTTTGAAAAGGTATGGGGACAGGATGCATCCCTGACACAAGGATCTTATGGGCGGAATATTGAATGATTTCGTTTTTGTGTATGGGGTTCATAAAACATTCTCACTGGGGGAGCTCTGGTGGCCTAGTGGCAAGAAGCTGCACTGCAATCCCAGAGATATGCGGTTCGAATCCACCAAATGCTCTGCCAGAGAAGGGGGGGGGCAATCTCCTCCTGTACCAGTCAGATCTGATTTGATGGTGCGCACGCGCGCGCACACACACACACACACACACACACACACACACTTTAAAAAAAAAGCATTCTCACTTGAAATTACATTTTTATTTGAAAACTAATTAAATGCATAAATATTCTATTCTATTACTCTTATTTTGTAGGCAGTATTTCAGCATATTTGTTGCTTTGTGGTACTGTTCTGGGTAACTGGTAATAGGAGAAAATGTTAATAGGAATTGAGTTCTGACCTCCGGCATTAATGTTTTTCTCCTTCCCCTAGTTGTTTTTTAATTAACACGGCAGATCGAATAATCAGAGTTTATGATGGCAGAGAAATTTTAACCTGTGGACGAGATGGAGAACCTGAGCCTATGCAGAAATTGCAGGACTTGGTGAATAGGTATGTGCTACACCCAGGATGACTATGTGAGAATTCTCAACCTAAACTCAAAGTCCGATTGTCCTTGTGCGCTTTCTTTGTGCTCTAGAACCCCGTGGAAGAAATGTTGTTTCTCTGGGGATGGAGAGTACATTGTGGCGGGTTCGGCCCGGCAGCATGCCCTATACATCTGGGAAAAAAGTATTGGCAACCTGGTGAAGATTCTCCATGGGACTAGAGGAGAACTCCTCTTGGATGTAGCTGTGAGTGGGATGGTGGGATGGACGGTGTTTGTTGTTAGTTATAGAACACAGGGAATCGTGAATCTTTTCTTAAAACCCACTTTTCTTCTTTATAACTTAGTGGCATCCTGTTCGACCCATCATTGCATCCATTTCTAGTGGAGTGGTATCTATCTGGGCACAAAATCAAGTAGTGAGTATTTTTCTGGTCTGATTGCTGTAAAATTAGATACTCTCTTCTTTTTATCAAAGAACGCTTACATATAGTAAGCTAACAATTCCTATATTTACTTTTTCTCTCTTTTAAAAATTTTAATTTTATACTGGTTTATTTACAGAATTCACATACATTATTTTCCACATCGGATCTTTCCCATTTCCTTCACACACACCCCACTCATCAAACTGTGCAACCCTGTGGGTAAAACCCCCACCCATCCTCACCCCTCTGCTCCCCCATTCCCCCTTTGGATTCTCATACACATTCTGCAGTAATGGCCTTAATCAATATTTGTCCTTATGGGGCTGAGTTAGTTCACTTAGCATAATGTTAGCTAGTAATTTACAAATGCTTTTTCTCTTTTGCTTGGAATTTTTATAACTTAATGAAATTAGTTAGTGCATCTAGTTCTGCTTAATTTTGATGGAATGGTCTTGGGCCAATGCTAATCAGCTTCTGGGGGAGTTATCTAGTATACTTCCTGTTAGGTTTTTCTGTTATCTCCTTGAAATCTGTTTGTCCTCTGTTTTTCTTATATTTAGTTCAGTTAGTTTTGTTTTCACATCTTGACTTTATTTGTGATCATTTATAATTAGTGTATATAAAAGAAACTTTTAAAGATTTTACTTCAGTATTCTAAAGTAATTTTAGAAGACATGTATTTATTTATGTAAGACCTAGAGTCAATAATTTGGGGTTTTAAAGATGCAAAGTGTTTAAAAAGAATTAAAACTTCACACATAACTTAATGTTTTTCTTCTCTGCCAAATTTGATTTTAAAATTGAGTCTCTTGTTCATATTCTCATTTATGTTATGGTTTCTCATTTACATGTAAGTTACAGATTAGATTGCTTTTTTACTTACGTTACACAGTCTCTTTTATTTGTGGCATAGGAAAATTGGAGTGCATTCGCACCAGATTTCAAAGAATTGGACGAAAATGTGGAATATGAGGAAAGGGAATCCGAGTTTGATATTGAAGATGAAGATAAGAGTGAGCCTGAACAGACAGGTATATTTCTCAGTTGCAGATGACATTCTCCTCCCCCACCCCTTAGAATGACTGTTCTACTGTAATACTTTTAATTTGTGTTACAAATTTATTTCAGCACTTAAGAATCTAAAATGTCTCCCCATCCTTTTAGTTTTACTAATACTCACCATTTTGTGAGTCTCAATTTGCAAACTTTTAAATAAGTACTTATATGGCGCCAGACAGCTTTCTTAACTTCCTGCTTTGTCATTTCAATATTAATGACTGGATTAAGAAGGAATTTATATGGTAGGTGCTTAGTGCATCTATCATGACTTTTGTTAGTCAGGTGAAAGTAATGAATGTGGGTCAAGTCCATATGTCCTTGGGCAAAATTTTTTTTGTTGGTTTTTTTTAAGCTAAAGAAGCTTTATTAAGGGGGCTCCTGGGTGGAATTCCTTGGTCAGCAAAGAAAGAGACAGGCAGAGAGCCAGACCAGGGATTACTACCCAAAATGGTTATTCTTGACTCCTGAATTTCCTGTTCTGTGCCAAGACGTCAAAGCTGAAACAAGAAATTAAAGAGCTGTACAGAAAATTTCAAAGGACAGCTCGGGATGGCAAAGCAAGATATTCTAATGAGCAAAGAGCTGGAGTCAGAAAATCAAAAGGGCTGAACTCGCACAGCATTTCTTAAGCTGAAGGAATTGAAAAACAAATTCAAACCACGAGTTGCAATACTTAAGGATGCTTTGGGCAGAATATTAAATGATCCAAGAAGCATTAAAAGAAGATAGAAGGAGTATACAGAGTTACTGTACCAGCAGGAACTGGCTGACACAGAAGAATTTCATAAAACAGTGTATGAGCAAGATCCTGCGGTGATGAAGGAGGAATTTAAACTTGCTTTGAAAGAATTGGCAAAAAACAAGGCTCCAGGAGTTTATGGCATACCAGTTGACATATTTCAATCAGCAGACGCTGCCGTGGATATGCTCACTAGGTTGTGCCAAGAAATCTGGAGGACAGCCACCTGGCCAACTGACTGGAAGAGATCGATATTTGTTCCCATTCCAAAGAAAGTGACCTGACAGTGAGGAAATTATCAGAAAGTATAATTAATATCACATGCAAGATTCTGCTGAAAATTACCCAAAAATGACTAGAGCAACACATCAACAGAGAACTCTCATATATGCAGGCTGGGTTTAGAAGAGGCTATGGTACTAGGGATATTATAGCTAATGTTAGATGGATCTTGGCAGAAAGCAGAGAGTATCAGAGGAATGTCTTTCTGTGTTTCATTGACTATGCAAAGGCTTTTGACTGTGTGGATCACAACAAACTCTGGATGACTCTGAGAAGAATGGAATCCCAGAACATTTGATTGTGCTTTTGCAAAACCTATACTTGAACCAGGAGACAGTCGTCAGAACAGAGCACGGAGATATTACATGGTTCAGAATTAGGAAAGGTGTCCTCCAGTTATGTATTCTGTCTCTGTACCTTTCCAATCTGTATGCAGACCAGATCATTCAGGAGGCTGGACTGTGTGAGGAGGAATGTGGCATCAGGATTGGAGGAAGACCCATCAACATCCTACATTACGAAGATGACCCAATCCTGTTTGCTGAAATTGAAGACCTGAAGCGCTTGCTGTAGAAGGTCAAGGACTTCAGCCTTCAATATGGATTGAAGCTCAACATCAGGAAAACAAAGACTGGGCCAGTTAGCATCGTAATGGATGGTGAAAAGATTGAGATTGTTAACAGTTTTAGTTTGCTTGGATCCACAATCAGTATTCTTGGTACCAGCAGCCAGGAAGTCAGGAGATGAATTGCATTAGAAAGTCAGCTGTCAGGGACCTCTCCAGAGTACTGAAGAGCAGTAACATCAGGCTGGAGACTAGGGTGCACCTGATCCACACCGTATTCATTTTGTAGGCATAGCAATTGTGTGCTATGTATCAGAGAGCTGCATAATGACTAGGAATGATAGAAGGGGAATTGATGCCTTTGAGCTGTGGTGTTGGAGAAGAATGTTGAATATACCATAGACTGCTAGGAGAACAAACAAGTTTGTCCAGGAGAGGTTGAAACCAGGCTCCTCCTTGGAGGCAAGGATTCTGAAGCTTCCTCTGACATACTTTGGGCATGTTGCGAAGAGGGACCAGTCCTTGGAGAGGAACTTCAAGTTTGGGAATGTGGAGGGACAGCACAGGAGATGAAGACCCTCAATGAGATGGATTGATTCAGTAATTGGAGTAATGGGAGTAGTAGGTGTGTCAGAGACGGTGAGGCTGGCACAGGATAGAGCAGGGTTTAGGGCTCTTGTTCATAGGGTTGCTATCAAGAGAAATGTAGGTAATCTCATGAATCTATTGTGACCATTGGTTTCCAAGGCTGTAAATCAAAACAAGAGGAGACTGTCCCATTTTTCTCCTTGAGAGCCTCAAGCAGATTTAAATGGCCAAGTGCATAGCCTTTGGGTTAACAGCACAACTTGCTCTGGATGTGGCCACCAGGGTTCTGTCCAGATGATAATAGTATCCGCCTCTTAGTGGTGTCTATGTGTAAGGGAACTCTGGTGGCAGAGTCCACAGCAAATCGTGCTGCTAATTCAGAGATGTTGCATTTTTACTCCACTGGTGGCTCGGTGGAGGGAACATGGCCAGTCTCCTCCCAGAGGGATTACAGCCTCAGAAACTCAGCAGAGGGTCACTGTGAGTTGGAACCAACTCAGCAGCTGTGAGTTTGAGTTTTTGGTGTTGTGAGGAACAAATGAGATCTTTCAGGTGAAGGCACTGAATAGAGTTGAAGGTTCAGCATGAGGTGTTAGTATCTGTTAGGATGATGATGATGATCAGAATCGTTAGAAAAAGCGAACTGGGGGGAGGGGTGTTTAGGGAGGAAAGTGTGCCACAACGTATGAATGGAAATCCAAAGTCTCTGTAAACTTTCATTAAAATTTAAAAAATAAGAAAATAAGATTTTACTTTTTTCTTCTCGTAAAAAGTTTTAAATTTTGTTGTTGAGAATATACGCCAGCAAAACACACCGATTTCTCCATGTATAGTTCACTGACACTGATTACATCCTTTAAGTTGTGCATTCTTTTTTTTTTTTTTTTAATGTGTGTACTGTCAAATCAGATCTGACTGGTACAGGAGGAGATTGTGCCTCCTTCTTCAGCAGAGCATCTGGTGGATTCAAACCTCACATCTCTGGAATTGCAGTGCAGCTTCTTGCCACTAGGCCACCAGAGCTCGCCTAAGTTGTGCATTCTCATCCTCCTCCGAATTTGTCTTCCCTTGTTAACTAACATAAACTCACATTCCCCTAAGGTTCTTTTCAGTCGCTTTTGTCAGTTTAATTCCAAGTAAATAGTTCTTACATGAGCTCTCAAAGCTGACGTTTTTTAAGAAAACTGGTCAAGGGAGCTCTAGTGGTGTAGTGGTAAGAAACTGCACTGCAGTCCCGGAGGCACATGGTTCAAGCTTAAAGATTATCGCAAGTCAGAAGTTTCAGGAGTTCATCAAGACTTTACTTTTTACCCAATATCTCATAGCAGAAGGTCCGATGGGGGAGCTTGCCCATTGGCACGTGCCGACTGCGGGGCCCACTGATGATTCCAGGAGCCAGGAAATCAGGATTGCAGTTTTCTCCAGCACGGCCTCACTTTTGTGGGGTCAGCTAATTGGCATGCTCCCTGCCTTTTAAGAAGGCCGTCAGGGATGCAGACTGTTTGGGATCTCCTTGGTATTTTTGGATTATGTTCTCTGAAAGCCTTCCCAAATTCCTCACGTAGCACATTTCACTTACCATCGCTAAAGAACTTTGGGTATTCACTTGAAACAAGCTGTTTCTGTCTCCTCAGAGTGGGAAGCATTTTTGAAGAACTAGCCTTAAATTTTCTCCTGTTTTTATCATTCTCTCCCTAGTGCTGAACATATGGTGGAAACTCAGCAAATATTTGCAGAATGGTTACCGGAAATTCATGTATTTACTTTCCTCCTTTGTTTTGCTTGAATTTCAGTCTACAAAAATCCTTAGCCTGGAAGTGAAAAATGATTTTGACTTTTCTTCAAACCTCCTCTATGTTTCTGCCCTCCAGGGGCTGATGCTGCTGAGGATGAGGAAGTGGATGTCACCAGTGTAGACCCTATTGCTGCTTTTTGTAGCAGGTGAGTCAGCACTGTGGACTGAGAGCTACCTTCTTCCTGTATGCAGTTTCTCTTTTAAACAACTAAGTTGTCCCTGGCTGTCTCTTCAGTCCTGTCTCCTTATTAGCCAAAAGAGATGATTGCTTTGGTTTAGAAGAAATTTAGTTCGTCTTTATTCTCTAATCCTAGTTCAGAGTCAGTTGTCCTCATGTAGTAGAGAATTTTTAGAAACGGAAATATTTTTACTGTTTATTTTACTATTTATTTTCTTTTTTATTAATCATGCTTCCCCTTTTCTACTTTTTAATATCTTGACTTTCTTAGAAGTCTTGATGGTTAATTTAGGTGATTCTTCTGGCCTGAAGGAAGGGTTCATGGTTAAAGCAACTATCTCCTCTTTTTTTCAATCCCGGTCTGACCCTGTTCTGAATAGTGATGAAGAACTGGAAGATTCAAAGGCTCTGTTATATTTACCCATTGCCCCTGAGGTAGAAGACCCAGAAGAAAATCCTTACGGCCCCCCACCAGATGCAGTCCAAACCTCCTTGATGGACGAAGGGGCCGGTTCAGAGAAGAAGAGGCAGTCTTCCGCAGATGGATCCCAGCCACCCAAGAAGAAACCCAAAACAACCAATATCGAACTTCAAGGAGTACCAAATGATGGTGAGAACCGTGTCTCTCCTCTATTGCCTGAGGGGTGCACTCTTTACTCTCCAGCATTATCCTGTAATTTCCTGTTTGGTGATTTTACCTTGAAAGAAAAAATTGTTCCTAAGAGTTATTTTTTAAAGACCATTTCTGAATTATGAATGCTGTTCCTTTATCTGTCTTTAAGTCAAATTTATATACAAATTTGAAGAGTTAGGTATGCTTTGTATTTGTGTATAGTGTACATTTCTAGCTACAGAAAACATCTTTAACATAGTACAGTAGTAGTAATAATAGTTTGATGTGTGCACAAAATAGCAACAATTTGTTATTACAGATAAAATTTTTAGTTTACTAAGAGTTTACAGGAGTTGGTGTGTGACTATGACTTGTACCTAAATCAGTAAGTTAGGCATTTGAAATCTGGGACGGGACTGCCTGCAGTGCTTTAAAGCTTTGTGATGGTTTCATTTGCTTTCATTTCTTTATTTTTTAATATTTTATTTTGGGGAAAATCTACATCTGTTATACATGATGTTTTAGATAATAGATCTTTATCACATATGTAACATGGTTCTTAACGTTTCTCAGTCCGTAGCTTTCTTCTTACTCTTGATAAATTCTCTTGGTGTATCTTAGTTTTTATGATGTCCTAGTTGCCTGTAAACTTATTATTGTATTGATAATGTATTGTTTTTAAAAAATCCCTAAAATACGTATCTTTATCTATGTGGTTTTCTTCCAAAAACTTTTAAGTTTTAGGTTTGATGTTCTGTACTTGATTTATTTTGAATTAGTGGTTGTGTCAAGTATTTTTTATTTTAAAATGGGGTACATTCTGTGCTTCAGTCTGTCCTACCTAAGCTGACAGACATAATTTAAATCTTCTGACACATGACTCAGTATATTTTCATGTAGCATTCTTTTTTTTCCTCCCAGAGATATACTGGCTAGGTGGCAAAGTCCTAGTCAAATATAGGCAATTCTTTCATTCTTTCGGCTTTTTTTTTCTTTTTCGTTTTAGATAATTTTTTGTCGTGATTTTAACGAAAGTTTACAGAAAAGTTGTATTTTCATTCATTCATTATTGCACCTTTTCCTCCCTATCTCTGCCCTCTGTTCATTTTTCTCTTTAAAAAAATTCATTCATGGTTGCACAATTTCCTCCCCTCCCCCAGCCTATTCTTTTTTTCATTAATTTTAATGAAAGTTTACAGAGGCTTTGGATTTCCATTCATTCGTTGGGCTTTTCTCCCTGCCCAACCTCCCCCCCACCCCCTCCCCGCCTCAGTTCACTCTTCTCTTTGAAAAGTAAAAGAAAAGTTCTTTTACTGTTGTATAATCCCTCCCCCACTAGACCTAGCCTCTT